GGCTTTGGCTCTGGTTTTCTTTAGTTCAATGAGATTCTCCAGATTTATGTTTTTACGGTAATTTTTAAGAGCTAATTTTTGTTGTTCTGTTGCGGTTTGGCAAGATGTATTCCACCAAGGTACTGCCTTTCTTTTATGTGAAATATTATTTTTGCCTATGTGCAAATTTGCAGCATTAAGTATGGAATCGGTGATTAATAATAGATTATTGTTAATATTGTCGGATAGGGATAGAAAAGGTAAGGTGTTATCTGTTTGTGAAGTATAGTCATTCCAGTCGGCATTTTTTAGTCGCCAGAAGTTTCTGGTTATAGTTTGTTCATGGTTGGAGCTATCAGATGATACAAATATTGGAAAGTGGTTGCTGTCATAAAGATCATCTGAAGTTTTCCAAGATAGTGAAGTATATGTTTTTGGGTCGCTAAAACTAAGATCTATAGCCGAAAATGTGCCAGAGGAAAAGTTCAAATGCGTATTAGAGCCTGTATTTAGTAGACAGGAGCCTGTGCAATTGATAACGTTTTCTATAGTTTTACCTTTGCTATTAGTGTGGTTTGACCCCCACATAAAGTTATGAGCATTGAAGTCACCTACTAGAATATATGGAGCGGGGAGCTGATAGATAAGATTTAGAATTTCGATTTCTTGAAGAGGGTAGTTAGGAGGAATGTATACACTGCATATCGTAAGTTTATTTGGACACCAAGTAGTTACGGCTATAGCCTCGAGTTCCGTGGTGATGAGGAGATGGGATGAATATATTTCACTGGAAATAAAAATAGATGTCCCACCACTGGCTCTGTTACAATTAGTTCTGATATAATGGTATCCTTCGAACTTTTTTAATGTGGGAAGCTTAGATATTTTGAGTTTGTTTCTTGTAGACATATGATATCAGGTTGTTTTTCTGTCACTAGTTGTTGGATTCTTTCAATACGGGGAAAGAACCCATCGCAATTCCATTGGATTAAATTGAAGGTGAAGCTTGAGTTGAAGGGGAAAGGGTCAACTGAGATGGTTGTTCTGGCTGTTGGGAGAGGAGGGTATTGGTTTCATTATCGGTTAGAAGTTCAGATGAGACGCTGATATTATCAGAGTCATCTGAGTTTAGCTGTCTTTTGATTTTCTTTTGAAGTCTGGTAAGTCGATTTTTAAGGGATCTTTCCTTAGTTTCTGAATGGAGAACTGTTATGTCGTGTAAGAGTCCTTCAATATTTGAAGTAAACACAAAAGCTTCATTAAGTGGACTAGGATTACCATGTGTATTTTCTAGGAAAGCAATAAACTGAGTCTCGGTCAAAGTTAGACCAGATGGATTATTTTCATAAATGGCCGCTACGGATTGTAGTGAACTAGCTGTTAGAATATGTTCCTCTGATTTTGTAGTTTTTGTTTTTTTCTTGTGAGGTTTGGAGACAGTGTTTGTTTTTGTGGATAACGGAGGAAACATTTGGTTAGACGGTGGTTCGGGTGTACTTGCTGAAGATAAAAGAGAAGGAATATCAGAATTGCTGTCTGTTGATATAGCTCTTTTTTGTCTTTTTGTGGGTGGAATTGATGGGAGTATAGTTTCAGTATCTATGTCAGTAGGGGTTTCTGTGCAGTTTGGGGTAGTTAGGTCTAATTGATCAGGAGTGCTTACGTCAGAAATTATATCAGTAGTTTCAGATGAAGAGGGCTCTAGATGGGGTAGTTCAGTTTGAGAAAAAGTAGTTGTATTATTGGTACATGAGTCAGCGGTATGTCCGACCTCTTTACATAAAAAACAATGCAATTTATCCGTAGAAATAAATATTCTATAAGGAGTGTTTTCGTATGTAATAACGAAGTTACTATCTAGTGAAAAGTTCTCCTTATCGGGGATAATATACGTTACTCTTCGGAAGCTCATTATGTGTGCATAACCTTCTCCGAGTGCACCACATTTCACAAATGACACAGGAGAGACCAGCTGTAATCCAATATCTTTAAGGGCTTTCTCAATTATGGAATGTGGAATTGAAGGAGATACGTTAGATATAAGAAGGCGTTTAGCTGGGGTGATAAGTCTTCTGATGGGAACTACTGTAGAGTTGATAGAGATATTTTGATGTGTTTTTAGAAGGTTATCAACAACTGTAGGCGAGGAAAGATAAATACAGATGCGGTTATTTGGGATACGTGATGCAAAGGTAATATTTTTTGGGATTACAATGTCTCCTATAGCTTTAACATAGTCAAATAAAACAGTATTTGGAATAGCGTGTATTAAAATGGCTTGCTCCTTCCGTGGGAAAGTAGGAGGTGGAGGTTTGGATAAAGTAGCAGCGACATATGATTTTGTGGGGTGGACTTGTGGAGTTATGAGTTTTGGATTTGGGTTCATTATTGTGAGTGTTCCTGGATACCAAAAACACTTCACTTAATTTTTAATATTGGAACAGACGTCCTAGTAGGACACTGTGGGTAAAAAATAGTGATATAACAGTTACCTGTATCTGCAGTTTTCGGTCAGTTGAATATAATAATATTATAGTTCAATGATAATTGCTGTTTCCATAACACACAAAATAATTCGAATTTTCACATAATTGTTACTGGTTCGTAAACTGGTAGAAATCGATTATTACCGATAAGGCACGGTAATGTTTACTCGTAGGCTACCTGAGTGGGAATTTCTTCGTATTTTTAACTCGTCGGTGGATTAATTTATCTGTTTAATACTGTTTAAATCTTTAAAATCCGTGAGGAAATTTAAAATGTGTATTTAAAACTTTGACGTTTATTTGACAGATGATTAGGTTTTTTGAAATTGCTTAAACAGATCTATTGTAAAAATATATAAACATCCGCCATTTCTCCCTTCCAGTTAAACAATTGACATTTTGTTGGAATTATTATTTTAGCATCAATGATTTTTCTTTTATATATTAACTTCATTTTTGTGAAAAAGTAATAATACAAAATGAGCCGCTAAAAGTTAATTTCAATGTCCACCTCTTCTCTTCGTCAAATTGTTTCCGTTTAGTCTCGAATGTAGATCTTTCCCAATTACTTCCATCTTTCTCTCCTACGCCAATATTATCTATTGTTGCTCGCTACTACTGTTATGTCGTTTATCCATCCCTTTAAGGTGTTCTTGTGTTTATTTTCATCTTGGTTTCCACTCGTTTTCACCTGTTAAATACCATCTCACTTTTAGTCTCTGTCTTATATCGGTATTTATAATGTTATCCTTTGGTAAAACTGCAAACATATTTTTTCCATTGCCCTCTGCGTTTGTTGTTTTATGATAGACGTTTTGGTAATTCACCTAGTGTTCAATCTATAGGTACACACCGTCAGTCAAGTGTTGTACATCCTCTGTAAGTTTATGGTAATGGATTATTTATATATATTTAGGAATTCTACAGTATTCACTGCCTTTCCTCGCTCAATCCTTTCCATCTCTTTCTGTTGTCCCATTCTCCATCGTCTAGGCCTCTCTTACTTACTTATGGCGTCATCTACTTCGTTCCTCCAGGATCTTCGGGGTCGTCCTCTTTTCCTCCTTAATGTCCTTGTAGTGTATCCTTGTCCCAAGCATTTCTTGTGATTTCCAGAGTCTCTAACCTTGCCAACAATTCGAAGGAGTCAAAACTTTTGGTACTGAACACGAGACCGGTATGTCACGTGTGAGGGGAGTAAGCAGATTGAGACCCCGAACTCGAACGGAACCGTATCCTTCTTGAAAATGGTTCCAAAATGGGTGCCGAAATTTTCATTTATCTGACCTGACCGCGGAAATTTATCCGAACATTTAATATTGTAGATATATATATATATATATATATATATATATATATATTATATATATATATATATATATATATATATATTATATATAATATATATATATATATATATATATATGTATATATATATATATATACATATATATATACAATGAGTAAGTTTCAAAAGCAATAAACCTTTTGGTCACGAGGAAATCGGTCAAAGGAGAAATAATAAAAGGAAATCACAGTTCCATTCCTATATTTGAAGACGTTTCGCTTATTGAATTTACAATCAGTTCAATGAATGGTGAGTGAAGAATAATAAGGTTTAAAACAAACACACCATTCTCTTGGTAACCGTGGTCAAAATATTAAAATGTTGGTGTTCAAATAATTGCTTAAATATATCTATCTAGTAGCATTCATGTATGAATGTATGAATGAATGAATAAAAACTACTACAAAGCTCTATAAAAAACCGTCATATTGCTCGTAAAAAAAACTACCTTATAACAGTAAAATGTAGATATAAAAACATATGTATATTTAGATACAGAAAGAGAAAGAGTGAGGTCAGCGTTACTGCCCTTGACGGGTATTTATTTAGAAAAAAACTAATGTTTTAGCATTATGTTACATAATTGGGTCTGAAGTTATATTAAAGAACTAAAAATTTCATAAAAGTTCCAAAATCTTATTAAAAGATAATAAAAATTCGAGAAGATGCGTTGATGAAACAAAATATCATAGCCAAGTTCTGTACACAATCGCACAAAACTATGAGACAATTTTGAGGGAAATGTTTATTCAGGAGTAGACGATATTTTTCAATAAGCAATTATAGTGTATTTATCGACAATATATGTTTATGAAATTTTGTAAAATTGTTATCAGCATCTATTGCTAAACATTATATATATATATATATATATATATATATATATATATATATATATATATATATATATATATGTATATATATATATATATATATATATATATATATGTATAGTATATATATATATATATATATATATATATACATTATAGCAGATATAAATAAATATTTAACATAGATGCTGATAACAATTTTACAAAATTATATATAATTGTATGTATATATGTAATATATATTCATTGAATGTTTATGTATTGTACTATACGACATATTATACCGAGACAATATAGAAAAATGGTAATGAACTGTGGGTTACTTATTATGTAAATTCATATTTTTCATTATAGGAATTCACAAACCAAAATGTGCGAAATAAGAGAGCCGTTGACGTTGTAACAGGAGTGAAGAATGCAGTTTTGGGATTTGTATTTAATGTAAGTTGTAAATATTGAACGAGCTAAATTATTTTTTATTTAGCAGACCTTAAAATAAACTGTAAAATATTGTTCTCCTTTTATAATTTAAAATAAATTAAAGATATCTCATTCTTAATGAACTAAATTTGTAATAGCAATCTTAATGCAAAAAAATTAATTTTTACATATTACATATTTTAATTTTACTTAAACTTTTCAAAAGTGCCTGGATGTCGTAATTTAAAAATCATTTATTACTATTTTCTATTTTTATATTGCCCTTGTATATCCTAATTTTAATAGTTCTTTTCATACTTCACAGAAAATAGATTCATTCCTTGACCAGAAAACTCGCTGGATCGATCAATTAGACAAACAGAACATAGCCAAAAACGCTGCTGCTGGCATTGTCCCTCCTGCTGACCCTGTCACATCGCTATCTTCAGTAATTTCAGGAGCCATCGGACAGAAGCTCCAAGCGGCTGCTCCTCTTCTAAATATCGTAACTAGCAAGCTCGGCGGTCTTAGCTCTGGAGGAGGTGGTGGTTTCAGCATTGGTTCTCTTCTCAGCAAAGGTTTAGGTAGTAGTAGTGGTGGTAGCAGCGGGGGTGGAGATGCTTCTCATGATGATGACGAATAATTCTAAACCTAATGATCATTCAGTTCAACTAAAGTGACTAGATTGTTTTTAGATAATTTCCGCCATAATATTTGCTCAACTCGAAACAGTTTAAAGATTACTTGCCTTGAATCACTCAATATTTAAAATATCATATTTATTTTTCATATTCAAGAGTTCATAAATTATTTAATGTTTAAAGTTTAAATTAAAGGATACCGTTTTTCCGCTGCTTCAGCAAATAAAATGTATTTTAACCCTTAGTTGTAAAGTGATATGCTACTTATGTTAAATAAATTTGCCTTTCACAAATTTTCTTTGGTGGATTTGAGAAGGTAAAAACCAATTCAGCTAAAAAACTATATGAATAAAAAGAAGTCATTAATAAAAAAAATGATGTACAAATAAAAAAGAAAAAAGGCAAGACCCAATGTGAAAAGGCAAAATAATATAATCGAACACAGTAACAACATATTGCGTTATATAATCTGTAGTAAGTCACCTTCTGATGGGTGAAAAAGAAAGTCGGAACAAGAATATTTATGTATTACCAAATTATAAAAACCACGTTTTAAATAAAATTCAGGGATAAGCAAGACAAAAACGTGCGAGCGATCTTCTCAATGATGTAAGATTTACAGAAATTATGCTAATGGAAATATGCTAATCGAAATAAAGAAATAAATACATCTTCTCATGTACCTTTATCTTAATGCATGTGTAGCAAATAATATGATCGCACAAGTTTGAATATAATATTGTAATGGCATGGAATGTAACACGTTTCGTAATGCCATGCATTTTTGGCCTTTGTTATTTTTGGAAAAATTCGCAATATAAAAGCATGAAAAAAACTCGGTATATACAGTAATAAACACAAAAGCAATATGATTTATTAATTTATCGCGAAGAAGCTGTTCTAGAAAGTCGTAAATATAAATTAATAATTCTAGCTTATTGGCAACCTTGAACTAACCGAGGATACTCAGATTCGCCGTGGGGTCCGCCAAGGGTGTATTTTATCACCCTTGTTATTTAATTTATACAGTGAAGCCATCTCAGAATTAGCGCTTGCGGTGAGCCACTTAATAATATAAGATATGCTGACGACACCGCCCTTCTGGCAGGAAAACTAGAAGAACTGCAACATCTTGCTGAACAACTAAATATATATTGCAACAATTATGGATTAAAAATAAATCTGAAGAAAACCAAGCTCATGGTATTGACAAAAGCACAAAATATCAAAGTTAAGCTAGTACTTGATAATACAGAAATTGAACAAATATCTTTGTACAAATACCTTGGAGCATGGATCACGGAAGATACTGATTAGGCAAAATAAATAAGATGCCGCATTGAAATGCACGTTCAACTTTTAATAGAATGAGAAAACTATTTTGTAATCGCGATATCAATATATCGCTCGAGATAAGAATGTTTCGATGTTATATTTTCTCTACCCTTTTGTATAGGGTTGAAGCTTGGACACTTAAAAAATTCAACATTAAAAACCTAGAAGCATTCGAAATGTGGTGTTACCGACGTATTTTGAAAATATCATGGATGGATCGCAAAACAAACGAACAAGTTCTTGAACAACTAGGAAAACAATGCGAAGTTTAAATTCCATAAAAATCAGGAAATTGGAATGCTTGGGCATATCATGAGAGGTGAAAAATACGAACTACTAAGAAATATAACGCTGGGTAAAATTAAAGGCAGAAGAAGCGAAGGAAGACGTAAAATCTCGCAATCTCCGTGAATGGTTTGGATGAAGTTCAATTGAACTATTCAGGCGCGTAACCAACAAAATTATAATTGCCAGAATGATTTCCAATTTCCGATAGGAGCAGAACTTGAAAAAGAATAATGCTTGCTTATTTTCACAATCCACAATCATAATTTTATTGCTTGCTTATTTCCACAATTAACAAAAAGCAACTGAATAAACAGCTTCAGTGTCACAACGCTAAGGGTTAAAATACATTCACTTAAAAATATACTTAACATAATAAACACAAAAAAATATTTATATATCTTTTATGTTTTCATGAATTGTGATTAAACAGTACTTGAATAAAGTTACCTAAGGCTACCAAATCAAAGATATAAATTTAAATAATTGTGCATTTCACCAGTGTGTAGTTTTTAAAATGAATTTTATGTTGTGTTACCTTAATTTATTATAAATATTTCGTATAAATAATCAGAAAAACCATAAAAAACACTAAATATTGAAGTATACTGTAAAAAATAAACATATTTTTAACATATTCAACGTTTCAGTAACTATTATTTCCATATTTTATTAAAAGGGCTTTATTTTAGATCTTCTATGTAAAAACTTATTAGTTATGTTCAATTTTACTCATCGTTAAATGCAATATAAATTACATCATGTTAGAAAAAATATAAAAAAGCGTTTTTATGCAAATCATTATGATGGTTACTAAAACAATGGATGGTTTAAAAGGTTAAAATTTTCGTAATATACTCCAATATTTCAGTATTATATATATATATATATATTATATATATATATATATATATTATATATATATATATATATTCACGACGAGCTTACACTATCTATTTATCGAAAACTAGTTAAACGATATTTTTTGAAAATTGGTTTCTGAGGATAACAAGTTATGACGCACTTGAAGAAGATATTTTGACAGACATGTCACATCCGGTTATACCGGAAGTAAACAGCAACTTAGTTATTTTAAATGGGATAGCTTCTACATTATGCATTTTTAAACTTTGGGTAAATTCGAAAAAATTTCTAAAAGGTCTTTTTTTCAAAAATTTTGGCAGATAGAGACAAACATTTCAAAGTTATTAACTCAACCATTTACAAACATAATGTCTTGAAAACTTTTGCACACAATTGGTAACATTCTTTCAGGAATTTATATCGAAAACGGATTTCTAAATACAGGGTGTTCTCAAATGATGCGCCATTTCTTTAAATTTTAAGCCACAGTAGTTTAATAATTTTTGATGAAACACCCTCTATTTTATAATTTTAATAAAAATAATCAAATGTCCTTTAAATAGTTTAAGTTTCCTATGACAAAAATTAATAATTTTGAAAATAATTGTGATTTAATATTAGAGATAAAATATTGATTGTTTTATTCTAGCAGGCCGTGTATGAATATGTCATAATTGTCATGATTTATAGTTAAGTAGTTATATTAGTGGCACTTTTGCAAAGTAATAGAAATGACTCGATTAGAATTAAACAATAGAGAATGCGTAAATTTTTTTAACACATGGAGAATGTGACAGTTATTAGTAGGGCATATCCTTTATTTACTATAAGATATCCAGATCGACCACGAACTACACGTGACACTGAAGAGATTACTTAAAAATTTAACTCATATTGGTTGATTTCGACAAAAATTGACCAAAGCGAAGCCTAATGTTGACAATAATGATCATACAATTAAGGTTCTTGGTTACTATGCTGCTTATCACGAAGCGTCATTAGATACGTTGTTCAGCGAATTAAAAAAAAAAACAAAAATGTCATACTAATTCTTACACCACAGTTCAAAGTTTAAAGGAAACATAGTATAATAAAAGAATCGAATTTGTAACAATAAAATCTCAAGAAGAATTTCTGAAGAGTATTATATGGTGTGACGAAGCAAAATTTACAAAAACGCAATGTTTAATAACTTTAACGCGTTTGAAATGTGGACATTTAGAAGATTGTTAAGGATTCCATGGGTAGATAGAGTCACGAATGCAGAAGTGTTAAGGAGAATAGGCATTGAGAGGGAAATAGAAAATACAATAAAATAAAGGAAATTGCAATATCTCGGACATGTAATGAGAGGCGAAAGATTCAACATCTTGAGACACATAATTCAAGAAAAAATAGAGGTAGGAGAAGCGTAGGAAGAAGACACGTTTCCTGGTTGAAGAACCTGAGAGAGTGGCTTGGTTGCAGCTCAAGGCAATTGTTCACAGCAGCTGCCTCGAAGGTCAGAATAGCCATGATAATTGCCAACCTTCGTCGCGGAGATGGCACGTAAAGAAGAAGAATGTTTAATAGACACAACTTGCATTACGGGAGTGAAGTAAATCAACATTTAACAAGAGTACGTGCTTTTCAAAAACGAAGGGAGTTTAATGTCTTTTGTGTTATCACAAAAGTTTATTATACAATTTTTATTTATAACATCTGTGTTATCAGAGACCCCCAGGTTGTATTATATTATGATTACATTATATTGTTTTATCTTATATCGATATCTCTATTATATCGTAAAGACGACGTATATCTTGGCTGCGCAATTTAAGAGACTGGTTCCGGTGCACATCTAACCAATTATTTAAAGCAACAGCTTCAAAGATACGAATAGCAATGATGATTGCCAAACTCCGTAGCGGAGAGGGCACTTGAAGAAGAAGAATATTGTTTTATATGGCAACTTAACTACTTAGTTTATTTTAAAGGAGCTATTTCTATCACTTTGTATAAGTTCCAATAACCACAACTAATGACAAACTATAACATCTTCATACACAGTTTGCTAAAATAAAACAAGAAATATCTCATCTTTAACATTAAAATACAATTATTTTCAAAATTATTAACTTTAGATATAGCAAATCCAATACTATTTGAAAGAATGATTTCTGTTTTTACTAAAATTATAAAAAACAGGATGTTTCATTTAAAATTATTGACTTTCCGTAGTTTGAAGATTAAAGAAATGGTGTATTATTTGTGAACATCCTGTATTTAGAAATTCAATTTGAATGAAAATTTCTGAAATAGCATTACCTAATGTTTGTGTGTAAAGATTTTTAATATATGATTATAAATGGATGAGATAATAATTTGAAAAGATTTGTTTCTATCTGTTAGAGTTTTTGAAAAAAGATGAATAACTCAAAAAATATGAACTTTGACTTAGTACTTTTTACAAATTTTATTTATAATCTTACGCAGAATCTAAAAATGTATTAACATGCAGGGTGTTTAATTTAAAATAACAAAGTTGCTGTTCACTTCCAGTATAACCCGAAGTGTTATGTCTGTAAAAATATATTCTTTAAATTTATCATAACTTGTTATATTATTAAACCAATTTTTATAATTATCGTGTAAGTAGTTTCTGACATATAGATAGTACAAACTCTGAATCACCCTGTATATGTCTAAGAAAGTTGGAACTGTACGACAAACTTGTTTGTTTTAAACAATTTTGGAAAAATGTTTCTTCATTAAAAGTTGATCATGACATCAAACCAAATTAAAATCATCAAATATCAATTTTTTCAGTTACGTATGAAATGTGTCAAATAATATTAATTTTAATAAGAGTACAGAGTACCATTGTTTCTGAAAGGATCGAAAAATATTTTCGAAGCAGAATCCATGTAGAAAAACTTATTTGCTATGA